CATGCAATCAGTTGAGCTTACCACATCAAAACAGCCACCACTCTATCACCGCAGCAGCGCCCACCACCACATCCATCACCATCATCCACCACACAGCTGATGGATGATACGACCAACACGCGAGTGATGGGGTGACTCTCTCTCTCTCTCTCTCTCTCTCTCTCTCTCTCTCTCTCTCTCTCTCTCTCTCTCTCTCTCTCTCTCTCTCTCTCTCCACATTTTCGTATCCCTCGCCACCTTTCCTCATCTACCCACATACCCCCTCCCATTCACCCATCTCTACTTACCCCATCCTTACTCCTTCATCTTTCTCCTTACTCCCTCATCTTTCTCCTTACTCATGAGTCTTTCTCTCTTCTCCCCACTCAACCTTACCTCTCCGGGTACCCCCTCATCTCACCTGTGCTTTCTCCCTCGCCCACTCAGCCATCCCCTCTCACCTTCCACCACACCCCTACCACGCCCACCACCCGCTGTCTGGCGCAGTGGCAACCAATCAGGAGAGTTTGTCAGAGAGTGAGGAGAAAGAGAGGGATATGCGTAGGATAGAGAGAGAGAGAGAGAGAGAGAGAGAGAGAGAGAGATGCGTAGGCGGAGAGAGAGAGAGAAAGAGGGAGGAGAGGAGGTTGTGGTGTGGTGTTAGTGACGCTGGTGGATATTGTGGAGTTAATGGTGATTATTGTGGTGTTTTGTAGGTTTTAGTGGTGTTAGTAAGGTGGTGGTGCTGAGTTCTATCACGTGTATCAAGGTTATGGTGCACAGGAGTGGATGCGTCAGATTATAGTTGATTATATTGTGATGTGGTGGTGACGGCGGCGACGGTGGTGGTTGTGGTGGTGGTGAACATGATGGCGGTGGTGGTGGTGGTGGTGGTGATAATGATGATTATGAGAAAGATGATAAAGAATAGAGCTACTTTTAATACTGTTAATGATGTATAGATAATGATGTCCAGGTAATGATATTAAGTTAATTATCTTGAGGTAATTAGCGGGGTCCTGACACACACAGGTAACAAAGACACACTAGGCTGCCAACCTCACAATAACGACACTGAAAAAATAAATAATTATGGGAAAATCTTCTCAAGTTCTTTTACTTTGGGTTTACAACACTCTCTCTCTCTCTCTCTCTCTCTCTCTCTCTCTCTCTCTCTCTCTCTCTCTCTCTCTCTCTCTCTCTCTCTCTCTCTCTCTCTCTCTCTCTCTCTCTCTCTCGTCTTCACACAGTGACTCAGAGGAGAATGACTGGGTATAGAGATGATCTCTAACTAACCTACAACACATTGACTTTTTCGTCATACACACGGGCGTATCTTCCTGAATTGTACATGAAATAGCAATGACCAGCTGGAAGCTGACCTCTTGACCTAGACACTAGAGGGGTCATGGGTCCTGCTCTTGTTACCTTCACTGACCTGACACCCGCTTGCAGGGTCACACCTCTGAAACGTTGATTAATTAATATACTCGGACAGGAAATAACCGGAGTATGAGCTCTTACTCGAGTTTGACCTTCACGTGACCTAGAACCTGTTCTTTGACCTTAAATTGACCCCGAATGTCCTAGCATCTGCCTCTAATATGAAAATAAAAAAGATGATTCGATCTGTAACTAACTTGGAGGTCGACCTGTAATACGAGGTTGACCTCCAGATAACCTCTTGTTGTTTGACTTTCACTTGACATTTATCGACTCGGCATCTACCTGCCTGCAAATGTTAATTAAAAAATAAACTAACAGTAAACAACCAACAATGTGAACTTTGACCTTGATTTGTTCCCTGACTGACCTGGCTAGCTGACCTTTAGTTGGTGTTTATTAACTTTACATGATGCTCGTGACCTTTGAGGTGTTTAACATCAAAGGTAATGCGTTGATGCTTTTATAATGACTCGCTAAGATTTACATGCCCATGACCTGTGTCCTGAGTCACACAGGCTCATGGGACTAATGTTCCTCGTAGCACAAGCTGTAATAATGTCCCTAACTAATTAACTGAAACATAAAAACTAAAAAAAAAAATAATAATTCCACCGAGACACAGCCTTAACTATATACATTCGCTCCTTTAACTTCATTTTGTTTAGTGTTGAGTAAACTCCAAAGCAAAACACATCACATTATCCTAATTAAAAACTGTATTTTATTTAATCACGTCGCATCTGTTCTAAAGGGAAATGTGGCCGAATGGATACAGCACTCACTTCGTGTCCTGAGGGTCGCCAGTTCGTATCCAGTCCACCCAGCTGGTAATGGGTTCCTACTGTAAGTGTAGACAGAAGAGAAGGCAGTAAAGGAAGTCACGCTGCCTCTTTGTATTTGATAAAAGGTTTAGTGTATAAAAGGCCGTCAGGCTTATGTGACCAACTTTCAATATATACAACGCAGCCAAATTAATCTCGCGGCAGTTGAGTACAGGTACACCTGAATCGACCAATTTCGAACATTTCTCTCGATAATGAAATGGTCTCTTTTTTTTCAATACCGAATATGTTTAAAAAACTTTTAACCCGAATCTAAATATGAAAGAAGATCAGCTCAAAGTATATGTTTGGGAATGTTTGACTTTGACCAGCTGGAGTAAACGCTATTAGTTTCAGATTTTTTGATGCAGAAGTGAAGGTGTGACGTCGGTCTGTTAATTACGTGCGAGAAGAATGAAAGTAAAGGAAGAGACAAAGAAAACAATATAAAATATGTCTCCTCTTTGTGAGAGAGAGACAATAAGTCATATCAAGGAGGACTGAAGGGAAGCGTCTTATGTCACACAGGTGTACAGTACCTGCCAGTACACCGTGTCCGGGTCACAAACACCCAGTTTCCACACCAGTAACACTCGCCTTTATCCATACAATGGGTGGTGGGCGATCAGGTGAGGCGCATTACACGGACATAGGGTAGGGTAGGGTAGGACAAGAGTAAAAAAACATACTAAGGCAAGGAAGAGACGAGGACTAGGTTATAACACGGAGTTTACGAGACACCTACAACAGAGTCGTAGGACTGGACACACAAGGCCAAGAATAGGTCCAGGTAGCAGGCGAGGAGGGGAATATGGCAGGGGGAATAGGGGGGCAGGGGGAATAAGAGGGACCAGGGGAGAAGAGTGGAAATAATATAGAAATATCAATAATGCGATAAGAGGATATGAGACGGTTAGGCTTATGTCCTACAAAAGCACAAGGTATTGTTATGTCTTGAAGTCTGGAGTTTGCTGGAGATGTGTTGGAGGATGCTGTGTTAGAGGATGCTGGACTGTGTTGGGCTGTGTTAGAGGATGCTGGACTGTGTTGGGCTGTGTTAGAGGATGCTGGGCTGTGTTGGGTTGTGTCAAAGAGAGGTGAGTTTGTCATGATAATGTTTGAAGGATGGAGTTTGAGGTTAGAAAGCATGATGATGATATAAAACAGGCAGGCCCTTCCTCCTCTCCCTGATGTGACGTCATCTAATACCCGGTAAAATGATGATTACCATAAACGGTGGAGAGGTGCGTGAGGCTTGCGTGGAGGGTGTAGAGGTGCGTGAGGCTTGCGTGGAGGGTGGAGAGGATGTTGGAAATTGTCGTGTCAGAGTTGGAAGGACGATATATCGAGACCCAGAAACCCTCTCACTCCCTCAACTCCAATTCGGGAGATGACCAGCAGGACCAGAGGACCAGGTGAAACAATTGAACTAGTGGAATGGGTGAGGATTGATTTTGCCGTTGACAGCAGCTAGTTTATTGTGCACCCCACACTCATCCTGTGAGCGGGAGCGCAAAAGGATTACATTATTTGTTTAGTTCTATACATAAAGGGTAACTTATTCACAACTGCGTGAGTACAGGCGTGTGAGGCAGTATGTCTGGCCGCACACTTTGTTATTCACATTTGCGTGAGAAGTATTCAAGCACATTGCGTATTTGGTTCTATACATGAGAACTGATATAGTTACTAAGTGCAAAAAAGTGGATACAATCTTAATATGTCGGCTATCTTGCCATTAGAGATGAAGTGTTGTGCCATTTCACACACAGTGTGCATGGACCTGTCCCTAAAAGGTTCTATCTTCACACAGTCGAGGACGTAGTGTTCAAGTGTGTGGCTGTATGTCTGAGTGAGGAGGTGGGACTAGAGGGGATGTGACAGGCGATGGTAAATACATGAGACAGAACAGGTGTTATGGGACCGGCAAAATAAAAGGGAAAATAGAACAGTGTGAACCAGGAAGGAAGTGGACGACGGGAACACTAACGATAAAACGGATTAACTTTATATAAATAATCTTCTTATTTTTAGTCTGGTCACAAAATTTTTCGATTCGGCAATATTCTCAAAAAAACTGTTGGACAGTGTACAAAAGTTGTCGAGTCCGGACTTTTGTAAGCCTTAATTTTTATACAAGAGAGAGTGCCCTAGTCCTGATGGTTCTAGTCCTGATGGCCCTAGTCCTGATGGCCCTAGTCCTGCTGGCCCTAGTCCTGATGGTTCTAGTCCTGATGGCCCTAGTCCTGATGGTTCTAGTCCTGATGGCCCTAGTCCTGCTGGCCCTAGTCCTGCTGGCCCTAGTCCTGATGGTTCTAGTCCTGATGGCCCTAGTCCTGATGGCCCTAGTCCTGATGGTTCTAGTCCTGATGGTTCTAGTCCTGATGGTTCTAGTCCTGATGGCCCTAGTCCTGCTGGCCCTAGTCCTGCTGGCCCTAGTCCTGATGGTTCTAGTCCCGATGGCCCTAGTCCTGATGGTTCTAGTCCTGATGGCCCCAGTCCTGCTGGGTCTCTAGTCCTGCCGGCCCTAGTCCTGGATGGTTCTAGTCCTGACATCTCTAGTCCTGATGGCCCTAGTCCTGATGGTTCTAGTCCTACGGTTCTAGTCCTGATGGTTCTAGTCCTGATGGCCCTAGTCCTGCTGGCCCCAGTCCTGCTGGCCCTTCAGTCCTGGGATGGTTCTAGTCCTGATGGCCCTAGTCCTGATGGCCCTCTAGTCCTGCTGGCTCCCAGGTCCCGATGGTTCTAGTCCTGATGGCCCTAGTCCTGATGGTTCTAGTCCTGCTGGCCCCTAGTCCTGCTGGCCCTAGTCCTGATGGTTCTAGTCCTGATGGCCCTAGTCCTGATGGCCCTAGTCCTGATGGCCCTAGTCCTGATGGTTCCCAGTCCTGAGCAGGCCCCAGTACTAATGGTCTCTCAATCCCACAGGCCCCAGTACTAATGGTCCCCAGTCCTTACAGGCCCCAGTAATAATGGTCCCCAGTCCCTTCCAGGCCCCAGCACTAATGGTCCCCAGTCCCTACAGGCCCCAGTACTACTGTCCACAGTCCCTGGCTATAGGCCCTGAAGTACTAATGGTCCCCAGTCCCCACAGGCCCCAGTACTACTGTGGTCCCCAGTCCCACAGGCCCCAGTACTAATGGTCCACAGTCCCACAGGCCCCACTAATGGTCCCCAGTCCTACAGGCCCCAGCACTAATGGTCCCCAGTCCCACAGGCCCCAGCACTAATGGTCCACAGTCCCACAGGCCCCAGCACCACGGTCCCCAGTCCTGGTTGGCAGGCCCCAGTACCACGGTGGTCCACAGTCCCAGCCCCAGTACCACGGTCCCCAGTCCTCATAGCACCAGTACCAATGGTCCACAGTCCCCAGGCCCCAGTACTAATGGTCTCAGTCCTTACAGGCCCCAGTACTAATGGTCCCCAGTCCTTACAGGCCCCAGTACTAATGGTCCACAGTCCTTACAGGCCCCAGTACTAATGGTCCCCAGTCCTTACAGGCCCCAGTACTATTGGTTCCTATTCCCTAGGGATCCCAATCGTAATAGCTTGAGTTAAATGACCTTGCTAAATGCTTCCACCATCCATCATGGGTAATAACTCACAGTATATAGTGAGTGACCCCCTGTAGTGAGTGACCCCCTGTAGTGATTGACCCCATGTAGTGAGTGACTCCCTCGAGTGAGTGACCCCCTCTAATGAGTGACCCCTAGTAGAGTGACCTCTAGTGGCACCCTCTAGTGAGTGACCTCTAGTGAGTGACCCCTAGTGAGTGACCCCTGTAGTAAGTGACCCCTGTAATGAGTGGCTTCCTCGAGTGAGTGACCCCCTATAGTGAGTGACCCCCTCTAGTGAGTGACCCCCTCTAGTGAGTGACCCCCTCGAGTGAGTGACCCCCTCAACACTTGTCCAGGTAACTGTCAAGTCGAATACAGACAGAAGGTACATCACTATAATTGCATAACATTACTACTACTACTACGAGTAATAATAATAATAATAATAATAATAATAATAATAATAATAATAATAATAATAATGATGATGATAAGCCACCATCATCAGCTATAAGTGCAGTATAATGCACTACATTCTGGTAATAACTCCTTTATGGTAGTTTTAATTGGTCGCCCATTAACCCTAGTATAACGACCTTGTCAACTTTGTCTCATTGTTTGTTATCTTACATAGTAATTAGTGTGTTATTATTATTATTGTTGTTGTTATTACACATACTGTCACTATATCTTATATGTTGATTATTGCACACACACACACACACACACACACACACACACACACACACACACACACACACAAAAATAAGGTAGAGGCTTAACCTGCCCAACTCACTGTCCTGCGTGGCTGTGAACAGTGATATCACCCACAGTGTCAAGACCTGACTGAGCTACTCAGAACAAGTCAACTGTATTCCAAGCTTTGCCAATAAATTTGTTAATCAAGCTCCCTCCAGATGGTGACGCTGAGGACTTTGTTACCAGCTGTTATAACACACACACACACACACACACTCTCTCTCTCTCTCTCTCTCCTACTTGACCCTGTCACTCCTAACCTCCTCCCTCCCTCCCTTACCTCTCCCCTCCCTCCCTCCCTTCCTCCCTGCCTCCTCACCTCCCTCCCTCCTCCACATCACCTCCTTCCCTCCATCACCCTCCTCCCTTCTCTCAGCCCCTTCCCTCCCTCCCTCACCCAACAGCCAGGATCATTAGGTTTGATTTTGCTCTCCGTGAGGATGGAGAGGGCGAGGAGAGGCTAGTGAGAGGAGCTGGGAGAGGGCTAGTGAGAGTGAACTGGGAGAGGGGTGATGAGAGGAGCTGGGAGAGGGCTGTTGAGGGAGCTGAGAGGCCCACAGAGGAGCTGGAGAGAGGGGCTAGGTGAGAGGAGCTTGGGAGAGGGATGGTGAGGAGGAGCCGGGAGGAGGGCTAGGAGGAGGAGCTGGTAGAGGATGGGTGAGAGGAGCTGGGAGAGGGCTAGTGAGAGGAGCTGGGAGAGGGCTAGTGAGAGGAGCTGGAGAGGGATGCAGAGAGGAGCTGGGAGAGGGCTAATGAGAGGAGCTGGGAGAGGATGGTGAGTGAGCTGGGAGGGCTAATGAGAGGAGCTGGAGAGGGATGGTGAGGAGGAGCTGGGAGAGGGGCTGATGGAGAGTGGAGCTGGGAGAGGGATGGTGAGAGGAGCTGGGAGAGGCTGATGAGAGGAGCTGGGAGAGGGCCAGTGAGAGGAGCTGGGAGAGGGTTGGTGGGCTCCAGAACAAGGCTGTGGCAGGTGAAGGGTAGAAGGAGGAGAGGAGGAGTGGTGAAGGCTGAAGAGGCGAATTTTACGGTTAGAAAGATGATGGATCTGACCTGAAGGACAAGGTAGAGAGGAGGTGAGAGAAGATGGAGAGGAAGTAAAGAAAAGAGAAGGTGCAGGGAAGAGGTGTGGGAAAGGAAGAGGAGGCGGAGGGGGAAGTGTGGGGAGATAAGGTGTGGGGAGGGGGTGTGTGGGGAGAGGACAAATAAAAAGGCACTAACACCACAATAACCTAACCTAAACTACAGCTGATCACACTCAGACTCTCCACCACCACCACAACCAGACTCTCCACCACCATCACAACCAGACTCTCCACCACCACCACAACCAGCCTCTCCACCACACTCAGACTCTCCACCACCACAGCAGACTTCATCACCACCACAACCAGACTCTCCACCACCACCACAACCAGACTTCCACCACCACCCACACAACCAGCCTCTCCACCACACTCTCAGGCTCTCCACCACCACCACAACCAGACTCTCCACCACCACCACAACCAGCCTCTCACCACCACCACAACCAGCCTCACCACACTCAGACTTCCACCACCACCACCACAACCAGACTCTCCACCACCACCACCACAACCATCCTCTCCACCACCACCACAACCATCCTCTCCACCACACTCAGACTCTCCACCACCACCACAACCAGTCTCTCCACCACACCCAGTCTCTCCACCACCATACCACACCACCACACCATCCAGCCTCTTCACCACCATATCACACCACCACAACCAACCTCTCCATCACCACCACAACCAGCCAGCTTTCAAGCAACCATTAATCCATGTTACGAGCGGCCGCCGTAGTTTTGTGGTCGACTTCACTTTCGAAACATTCCTCTTGTCGGAACCAGCGGGGCACTGTTGTCGGGGAGCCTCGGTCACTGTTATATATCACCATGGATCAATCTCACTGGGTCACTGGTCTAATGAGTCACGCTTCTAATAGGCCTCACTTCTAATGGGCCTCACTTCAAAAGTGCACCACTCCTATTTGGCCCAATTCCTAATAGGGCTCAGTCAAAACAAGCCCCACTCCTTATTGTCCTTATTTCTAATGGGGCTCTCATCCTAATAGGTCCTACATTTAATGGGACCCCAGTTGTAATAGGCCCCAACCGAATCTAGATACAGGAATAGGGGTCCTTCCTAGTGGGCCCTACTCTTAATGTGACTCAACATTGATTGCCTATCGATCTGTTACCATACATCAATGTCATATAATCTATCACCATACATTAGTGCTTCTATAATTAATTTGTCCTATGATTGTTCCACTATTACTAATCATCGCAGTTCAGTTATAGGCGAATAAACAACATTTCATTTTGACTATAATTAATGACCTCGGTTATCTTCTGCTTTAATGCACGACTATAATCCGGATTCTCTATAATTCATTTTCCTGCTTCATATTTCGGTAAACACTATGACCTCTCACCGAATTTCCGGTATAATTTATTACCAACGCAATGTTGAAATCCCGTATAATGTTTCTGTTTCACTATAATTTATGAAGTTTGTTTCAATTATATTCTACTGTATAATCACCTACACTTTCATTCCATTATAATCCATCCACATTCTTGTTAAAACTCCATTATACTTCATTCCACAATAACTGACCTCAATTCTTCAGTAATCGATAACATTCCCACTCCAATTCAGTCTGCTTTTCATGCACCTATAATCAACTAACTTCGCATAGGACTATAACAGCGTCGTCTACCTGTTATATAATTGTTATAGCACTCCGTCTTTGCTTTTATATAAATTCCCATTCCCAGTGAGATTTAAAATGTCTCAAAGTGTCGAACTCTCGGGACAACGCTCCGGAACTGTGTCGTAAGAAGAGAAAAGAGAGAGAGTGAGAGACAAGTAGACAGAAAAACAGACAAAGAAGTACACAGACACAGACAAACAGACACAGACAGACAGTAGGTAGTAGGTAGTAGGCAGCTACCAAACAGGGAGGTACTACCGCCTGGGAAGATATTGGAAGCATAATGTATAGCGGAATGGTAGACCCTGCTGCCATATGGCATCACTAAAATTGTGACCAAGTCCCAGGTTGCTGATCTGATTTTCTGCCTCATTTACATACATTTGCAGGGTGTCAATTGTTTCTCTTACCATTGACAACACAACATACATATATTGTTTCTCACTCTTGATCTTGTATTTCTTATTTTTGTATTTCTGTATGGTTCTTTGTTATTATTATTATTATTATTATTATTATTATTATTATTATTATTATTATTATCATTATTATTATTATTATTATACTTGCAGTGTTATTATTATTATTATTATTATTATTATTATTATTATTATTATTATTATTATTATCATTGTTATTTTATTATTTTTATTTTTGTATTTTTTATTATAAAATTTACTCATCTGAATTATTATTATTATTATTATTATTATTATTATTATTATTATTATTATTATTATTATTATTATTATTTTAGTTTGTCCAATAGGTAGATAGGCAGAATTTTTTTTCTGCATTATTATTATTATTATTACAGGAGTATTAAATTTTTGCCCCTCAGGCCCCAATGTGGGTCAGTGACCTATGCCCGGGTGGGCTAATCCCCGTAAAAAAAAAGAGACAGACAGACAGACAGACAGACAGAAAGAAAAAAAGCAGAGGAAAACAGACAAACGGCATTAGTCATATCAAGGCGACAATGTTTCAGAGCCTCGGGGGATGAAACCGTGAACCTTGTTAGTAAGGAATTGGGAAGCAGGAAGTCGCTCGCTGTAAGAAGCATAAAAGACAAGTTAGGGGGAAGAGGAAACGGCAATAAGCGAATGAAATGAAAAATGAAGCCACTGGAACACCAGACTGTGAAGTGTTAAACGGAAGAGAGTATACGTGAAGAAAGTCTAAATAAATGTTGAAAGTGATAGAGAAAGAGATTTTTAGAATAAGGGCCAATAAAGGAATAAATTAGGGAACATGTGGGAAAGTAATAACCACCACAGGCAGATAGAAAAGTGGCGTAAAATTAGTTTGTCAGCATTCGATTCCCTCATTTACATAACATGGAGTGGTACCCCCTTAAAATTTTGTGTTTCTTAACTGTAATCCTTCATTATTTCCGGTAGTATAATGTTGTTGTTTTGTGTGGGGGGAAGAACACCTGAAGATTATCCTCTCAAGCTTATATCATCTTAATATTAATCACACTAACCTAACCTAATTTAACCCCTCTAGTTAGAATTAGAGTATTTTATCATTAGCTAGTGTGACTAATCTTCAGGTGATTGGTTTATTGTACCATATTACGCTTCGTTTCCTGCACCAATATAGTTGTACCAATATAGTGTTAAGAATATAGTCAGGGTAAATAGCTTGTGTCCACACTCAGATTATTGTTACTCACACAGACCAGGTCCAGAGAATAATAATAGTAATAATAACAATAATAATAATAATAATAATAATGATAATAATAATAATAATAATAATAATAATAATAATAATCTCATACCGGTTTGTTTTAGTTTTCCTTGTTGTTCACTAACAGAGGTCCTGCCTCGGACACACACAGAAACTTAAACAAAGAAGTTGCACAAGGACTAGCAAATAATAACAAGTTTATGCATATCTTACCAAGTTTGCGTCTGTGTAAATGGTGTGTGTGTGTGTGTGTGTGTGTGTGTGTGTGTGTGTGTGTGTGTCACAAGGCCACACTATGATCGTACAGTACATCACCATAACTAACAAGTTGCAGTTAAAGAGTACCCATTCCTTTATCATCTTATGCACTGCTGCATTATACTGACACAAAGGCAGTATGTAAACAAGAGAAGCCCGAGTCAAGCAGAGAGAGAGAGAGAGAGAGAGAGAGAGAGAGAGAGAGTATATTGTACTGGCGGGAGTGAACCGTACAGCCGTGGTCTGCCTGACTGGGTCTGTCACAACACTACACAGCTTTACCATCACAGCTTCTACATATACGACCATACGCTACCACCCAAAAGATAATTAACGATGGTTCTGGTTCCCTATAAGCTATAATGGATCTGTTTCACTATGATCTATGGTGGTCCTGTTTCACTATAATCAATGGCATCCCTTCTATTAATGTCCCTTCATCCTGGCCGTGTTTATTAGGGTCATCATCATCACATACACAACAAGTTAGATTATTTTGACTTTTCTGGGAAACTTACCTAAATTATCTCCAGGCTGAATTTTACCTCTATCTTCATAACTGTAGCCGATCATAACGAACACAGAGACATTATACTAAATATATACATCCATACAAATAAAGTGTGTAGTAATATTAAAGGTCCCAGTGGTAGTGGCCCAACGTGGAGGATCACGAGAGACAAACTTAATGGTTCAAGTTTTATAAGGGCGGGAAGTGGAGTCTTTTAAAAGGTGGCAATATACTGTGCGCTGTGGACACTTTATAACACCTGCTGTAAGATGTTAAATGATTCTTCTTGGATTAACTATTGGAAATTTTACGGTTGAGAGAGAAAAATGGACCTATATACACACTATCTATCTATCTATCTATTTTAAACACAGATGCAATTATTCATGAGGGAAATTTCAGCGGCAATTTGTCCATAATAAGCCTACACAGTCTGTAGCATTGTGAAGAACGAAATACAGTACACGTCCCGGTTTGCGATTTCTATATGACATTTATTACTGAGAATTACATACAAATATATATATTTTTGCGTTATTAACCGCTAAAAGCCGTACTCCCAGAAAGAGGAAGAATAATTTGAGTCTCCGTTTTGCGAGAATTTTTCCCTTCTTCCCGCGGCGATCTCGTCTATAAATAAGAGAAGTAATGGAACCTCGCAGCTTAAACTGGTCCTATTTCTGAGTGAAATGTTTAATCCACAAAAGTGTGCCTGTCGGGGATGACTGCATAGCCACTGGAATTCTCTCTGGCTGCGGTGTGCCCTGGAGAGACAGGGTGACTGGGCCCCAAATTCTAAGTGGCCCAAGGCGACTGGTCATATGGGCCCCAAATCCTAAGTGACCTTCAACGTAACCTAACCTGATCTTAAAGGATTGTAATCTGGAAGGGCCACAAGTCTTAAAAAGTGAGATATATTACCAGTCCTCGTAGGCCCCAGATCTGTAGAGAGTCTCCCAGTCCTAATGGGCCCCAGTCTTAATGGTTGTGTGTTGGGTAAATTAGGTTAGGTTAGGTTATGTTGGGACCCATAGCGACTGGGAATACAAGAGATCAGCAAATTGTTTCCACTAAGATACTTACTGGTCGTCCTTACCATCTGTCCTTACCGAGACACGTACGGGAATCAGGATTCATTGAAATACGTACGTACAATATAGGAGCCAAATACAGTACTATATATTAATATTCGTACTGGTGTTCATCCTTACAGAGACATGTTAAGTTACGTTAGGATTAACAAGGTGTAAACATAATTATATTTTATGTTTAGAGATAGTAAAGTGTCCAGTATATACACCAAAACCAATTGTATAAATATTAATATTGTTTCTACTTAAGATTCGTTCTGTGTTCATGAACAACCATAAGTGCAATTATAATAATAATAATTAATGGTTTAGTGGAAAATTTAAACAGCCCAAAGGTTGAAAATATTAATTAGACAAAAATTACTTTTTACATACAAGGACATGGGGTGGGTGGGTCGTTTAACAGTTGATGGCCGGGCTAGTCTCTTGCCATACTGTGTGAGGTCACGTGGGCCACGTGGAGTAGTAACTCGTCCATAGGTGTTGATATGAAAGACCTTGCGTGGTCATTGAGACATCGGGTGGTGCTGTGTAGTAACTTGTCCTTAGGTGTTGATATGAAGTACCTCGCGTGGTCATGGAAACACCAGGTGGTGTGGTGTTCACGTGGTGTAGTAACTCGTCCATAATGTGTTGATATGAAAGACCTCACAGTACCACACTCTCTGCTAAGTGGTGTTTTGTTATCCTATGGTCAGGTGTAAAGCCGATTAACACCGCCTGGTCAGATGGTGGCGGTCGGTTCCCAGGGGTGCATCTCTGGGTGTGAACCTCACTGGTGGGTCACGGCTCTCACTGGTACTCTTCTAGTGCTGAATTCACTGGTTTAAACACTGTTCATCACTGTTCAACACTGATTCCACTTCTTTCCGAAACGAGATTGTCACTATTGTCGGGATAATGCTGATATCCCGGTGGTGGGGATGGGTCAGGGAAGGGATTTGGGGAATGGCCCAACATTGGCCCATTGGTGATGGATGTTGTGTGTGTGTGTGTTCATTCTCTAAGTAGTTAATCAGCGCTGGGGACGGGCTGTATGCAGGTCAGAAGTAGGGCTTCAAGGAAAGGCTCACTGTTATGAAAAGCGTTGCCTCGTGCGTCCTATAACCCAGGCCCTGAATTATCGAATATTTGTAAATTAAGTTGACACTTTAACTGAAGCACAAACATGAGAGCTTCCATGCTACACAGAGATGCTCCCGAAGACATGAGCTCTTGCACGAGGCAGAAGTCAAAACTGAGTAAATCTTTGAAACTCTGGAGGTTGATGCGTAACCGCCACTGTCAGAGCCCGGCAGATGTGTTTCACGTGTTCTGAGCCGCACTAACTCCTTCACAACATTTTTTGGGGGCGATGACTCCACAATCTAGATAATCACAGCTTGAGATAACTTGAGGCGCTGCATCCGACTGCTTGGAACAGTGGAGGAAGTTGTCTAAGACTCGTGGCTACCATCAGGCGCCAACCTGAGCCATAACGTTAAGTTGAAACAATGCAGTCTAGCTTTCTCCCAGCCCAGCGCTACTCACCCACCGCACGAGAACACTCATAACACAGCGAGTCAGAACAGTGCAGCACAGCATCAACTCTCTTACCCCAATGCTGTTCACAGCACAACACAGGAATCATAACACAGCGATCTCAAGCAATGCAACCTAGGATATGCCCAGCCCAGCGCTGCTCCCTCACAGAAGAACACACCCTCCTTACTTAGTCTGTGGCTGAGTGCCAAGGCGAGTCTTCAGCTCCAGTGACGACAGAAAAGCCCCAAGAAAATGTCATAGAAGGAGAGTGTCGAAGAATGCTTTTAAGAGTAGCCGTCGGAAGCAACTCCTTCAGGGTAAAGTCATATAGGGAAGAAAGTGCCAGAGAGGGTTCTGAGGAGGAGTTGGAACAGGAAGAAGAAAAAGAAGAGGAAGAGGCAGGTCTTTAAGGATACTGTCATACCACAAACGTTATTTTATTTTTTGAAGGAGCAGAAATCTTCGAGAGAAATGCTGCCGCTGAGTAGGAACCTTTCTTGTGAATAAATCTGATGTTGTGGAGCGACTCTGAGCTGACGCGTGAGTTTACTACGAGTAGTAAAGTTTTTCTCGCGTCTACAACTATCTGCTTGTTTCACCATCACCTCACGTCTACAACTACCAGCCTACTACCACCTCACGTTTACAACTATCTACTTGTTTCACCATCACCTCACGTCTACAACTACCAGCTTACTACCACCTCACGTCTACAACTACCAACTCTAACACCACCTCACACCCAAAACTGCCTAGACTTTTATAAACACTACCCGAGACCCAATTCGTCAAAGTTTTTAGGCTAAATAAGGTGCTCTAATAATATAAGATAGTGTCTCCTCCCTACAGTAATAACACGAGAAGATCGCTTCCAAATTGTTATAAAAAATCCACTAAAACTTCATCATAACTACCTGCATTCTCTCAGCCTCAGTTAAGGGTAAAAAAAATACTGTGAGAATATTTGAGCATTCAGACCAGGTCCCCATCAGTTCGGCGCCTTAGGGGCAGGGGGGGATACAGCCAGATCACGTCCGTAATTTTTCACGCGGAATAATTTAATGAGGAGCCGCCAGTATATATCGTAAATACGGCCCACACACACACACACACACACACACACACACACACACACACACACACACACACACACGTACACACACACACACACACGTACACACACGTACACACACACACGTACGTACATACGTACGTCAACCTTTTTCCACGTGAGGAAATATTTCTGGAAACATTTAGAGATGTGAGTATGATAATGTGATGTGTTGATTAAGATATGTGGAAATACTTTGAGATGTGGCCGTAATAATGTTATATTTGGAAGTATTTAGAAATGAGAATATAATTTATCGACAATTTAGGATGAAGTGAGGTTAGCTGAACCAACCGTACTGGCTCATACCTTACCTGCCTACCTACAGTACCTGTTTATTTCTACATGGGATCACGTGAAGAGTAGCCACCCACTTAACCTAACCTAACCTAACATGACCTTCGTGTTTATATCTCTAGATTTTCGATTTCATTACTTATTAACATCTGTATTATTAATTACAAGTAAAAAACGTGAGAGGAGGAGGTGGACGTCACCAGAACTGAAGGTATCCTCGACACGCCACACTCAGCGTCCAGATCTTAAGATTCGTCACACAGCCACTGTATCAGATTTCAGCGGCAACGAGCAAGAAAAGTTTTATAATTATTGAAATGAAATCTAATGAAACCAACCGAGTGATTATATAGAATTACTCCGTAATAATACTAATATAACTAATTCCACGCAATTTTACAACGGCACCAACGTATTCTATCACGCATATAAATTTATCTCATTGTGATATTTTTCAGATAATAGCGTTGAGTCCCACGTGTAAGTACACTACCAGAAAAATGTACAGAGGGATATAGAATGAGGGATCACCAGAAGACTAGACACCGCAGCGTATTTCACCTTGAGACTAACTTAACCTAACACAACACAGGCAGCGTTAAGGTGTTTAATAATCAGGTAAAATAAGCTGGGAGTTAATATTTTCATTTTTCTTGTTTCCTAATTTTTATGATGACTTTAATGTAGGTCCAATGACTTATACAAGATCATTTTTTATTCCTTTTTTTTTATAACACTGCACGTCTATCAAGGATAAATTTGTCTAAAACCACAAAACACTGGAAAGGCACAGACACAGGCCATTGGAACCCTGGAACCTGATCAAATAATAGAACACAAACTCATATCAGTATAAACAACGTGACCTAAACTGTACACTATTTATAATTACTCAAACATTAAAATCGCGTTCAGAAAAAATAAAGGAATCACCAACAGTAATGATAATATCAGCGGGAATAGCATTTTCTAAATATTTTGTGGAAAACTGTACTGTAAAAGACATGACATTAGTTCACCGCTTTTGACTGGCAGCAATTTATACCAGTCTGCTCCAGCGACTGGCCCGTAACCCACTTTGATCCAAATCGTTAAAAGTTTAGTTGGTCTGGCTCGCTGTACTGGCTCTTTGGTCTGGCTCACTGGACTGGACTAGATGATTTGGCTCATGGTCTGAGCTACCGAGGGTGGCTCGCTGGTCTGACTCGCTATCGTTATGTTTTGATGTGGTTTAGATAAAGTTGTGGTCTAGCTGAAGTGGGTTTGCCCTGCCATATTCCCCGCCATGTTCCCCGCCATATTCCCCGTTATGTTCCCCGCCATGTTCCCTGCCATATTCCCGCCATTTCCCCGCCATGTTCCCCATGTTCCCATGTTCCCTGCCATGTTCCCCGCCATATTCCCCGCCATATTCCCCCATGTTCCCCGCCATGTTCCCCGCCATGTTCCCCGCCATGTTCCCGCCATGTTCCCTGCCATGTTCCCCGTCATGTTCCCTGCCATGTTCCCCGTCATGTTCCCCGCATGTTCCCCGCCATATTCCCCGCCATGTTCCCCGCCATGTTCCCTGCCATGTTCCCCGTCATGTTCCCCCCATGTTCCTCGCCATGTTCCCCGCCAATAAAATCTAAGTTGTTTTTCCATACCATCAGTCTTTACATAAGTTACATTATTTGTGGCCATATGACCTTAGAAGTTTGGAAGGAAAGTCTACTAATTGGGGAAATTACACTTATGTTTACGCTATTACTTGGCCAGCCGAAGGTTTCCTGTGTTCTCGGTAACCTGCGGTACACTAGACGGTATACTGCGGCACGGAAGGCAGAACACTGGATAACCTGCGGCACAGAAGGCAGAATATTGGACAACCTGCGGCACAGAAGGCAGAATACTGGACAACCTGCGGCACAGAAGGCAGAATACTGGACAACCTACGGCACAGAAGGCAGAATACTGGACAACCTGCGGCACAGAAGGCAGAATACTGGACAACCTGCGGCACAGAAGGCAGAATACTGGACAACCTGCGGCACAGAAGGCAGAATACTGGACAACCTGCGGCACAGTAGAAAGTACTATATACTGTAATGGATTTCATGATTTTTAAATAATTTCTTTGGGGTAACACTTATGTTATACTACTTAACGTTATTGCTGTGCTGTGCTGTAGTAGTGATATATGAAAGAGGTCCAGCCAGGTTTTCCTCCTCACCTCTGAGAGCCTCCCAAAACGCTTAGCTATATCCTCCTCCAGGTCATTAGATTATGGGATCTGGCTCACTCTGACCCCCCTTCTACCCTCTTACGCCTGCCTAATATATGTAAGTGTGTGTGTGTGTGTGTGTGTGTGTGTGTGTGTGTGTGTGTGTGTGTGTGTAAAGAAATTTCGAATATAATGGAGTTTAAATTAGGTATTCCTCCAGCTTAGTTTTTAGTGTTTGCATACCTTCACTATCTATGTATAATTGTATACCTGTATTGCATACATGCTGAACCAATGTAAACTTGTATGACGAATATGCTGAATATCTAGCAGTGTATCTCACCTATACATGGGAGACATGCAACATCTATTTCTCTTAAGACCAGGTCATAAATCAGGACTGAACGAGGGGCAGGCAGGTCAGGATTACCAAAGTTTTCACGCGTCTGTGCCGACTGGGAGAGATTACACAGGATCCAAACTCCACAGGAAGTCGAATCGCATCAAATCGGTTGTCAGGAAAACGTCTCGCTCCGGTGATAGCGGGAGCGATGTTGAGAGGAGACTGGAGTAAAGGAGCTTTTACTGTATAGGAAGAGCAGATGCTGATGCCATGAACAAGACGAGAGATGATTTTTAAACGGCAACTACCAAGTGTTCCGAGAATTCATTGGTGTGAATGTTCGATGGTTCAAAGGCTTATTCGTTCGAGGGCTTATTAGTTCGAAGGTTCATTGGTTTACATAGTCTTTCAGACTAATGAATCTTCGGACCGGACTTATAAACCCTCTAACCAATTAATCTTCGAACCAATGAACCTCCAACAGGACTCGAGGCTGTGAAGTGCGAGGATGAACTGATTTTGGGTCGCTGTTATCGTCATTATTGGTCCTTCCTGTGTGAGAGTTAGAAGGCCACATGTTAAAGCCATTATGCTTTAACAGAATATAACCATTAATGGCCTATTACTCTTCATTAGTCTTTTTAAACTGTTTTGAAGGGTCAACCTATTAGAACATTTTGAACTATGTAATTGTGATAATATCGATAACTTTGTCGTTTAAATGTTTTTGTTGCTTCATCTATCAATTAATTTTTATTATTTCTTATATTTAGAAATATATGTAAATTAAGATATCGATATATACAGCCAGTGCGCAAGATAATAACAATATTTGCTCTCAAAGTTTCAAATTAATTACACTTGATTGTCGCCTTTACTGTTTCCAATAGTCATGTGGCTTAATGACGTCATGTATTCAATATTTCCAAAATCCAATTGTCTTCAATATCTTCTACAGTGTTTTTAATAGAATAAAAATATATTGATCAATTTGGCCACAAATAGTAGAGCCGAGGTATGGCGTCCGACCCGACCACACCCACCACCCCGACATCGCCCTCCACCCCGACCTCCCCAACCGACGACCGGGAGGCCACCAGGGAGTGGCTGGAGAACATCCTGGAGAATTACCACAAGTCCCTCGCACCGAACTCTAGGCCGGACATCGAGGTTAGTAGTCTGAGGTACACCTTGAACTTATTACTCTGGGACACGCTTGACCCTAGTACTCTGTGGTATACCTTCTAGTTAGTACTCTAGGGCACACTTGACCTTAGTACTCTTAAAGTTAGTACTCTGAGACATACTTATGAGTAACTATTCGAGAACACACATGAAAGCAAGTCTATGGTCTGTGGTCACACTTGGGACGGACTCTGGGCTCTCTACCACAAAGGTTAAATAAGTACTCTGTTGTCACACCTGTAGGGGAGGACTCACACTAGTCTCCTTATATCACATGGTTAGGTAAGACTTATTCTCCCACCACCACTAATGTCGGATAACTCTATCAGGGATTACCCTTGACCATTACCTAACGTGACCTCCAAGTTATAACTCCAAAGGGCTTTCACATTGAGTAGTTTGTACACACGATATGATCTTCCAGGTTCAAACTTCTGTGAGACAATTTTAATCCATTCTGTAATATCCTGTTTTGGCTCAGTCGACTCAATATTGATATCTCCCTCCATGTCTCTTTACGTTGTATCTCTTTGTTTCAATCTATATCTGGCTTCTCTCTCTCTCTCTCTCTCTCTCTCTCTCTCTCTCTCTCTCTCTCTCTCTCTCTCTCTCTCTCTCTCTGTCTAATTATCTCCTCTCCTTTTCTCTCTCACACCACTCCTTTTTCCTCCTTCCTCTCACCATACACTTTCCACAAACCTTCCAGTGTTAGTTGCTAGAGTAATGCGTAATCCGAGGCTCTCTCTCTCTCTCTCTCTCTCTCTCTCTCTCTCTCTCTCTCTCTCTCTCTCTCTCTCTCTCTCTCTCTGTTTTGGCTCCTTTTTCCTCCCTCCTCTCACCCACGTTTCCTTCCACAGCTGCGTGAGTGGAGCGTTAGCCCTGCCAGTGGTGGAGAGCGAGAGGGCTACCTGTCTGAACAGCTGTCGGTAGGCGTGTCATACAGCGCAAGGGGGCAGAACCACCACGCCCACCTCTTGGCCAAGCTCCTCCCACAGGATCCCTTCAACCGCGCCTTCGTCATCGAGACGCTCTTTGACCTGAGAGAGATCAAGTTTTATACCGAGGTGAGTGAAGAAGGTGGGTATGTGATGGTGTGGTGGTGTGTGTTGTGGTGGTGAGTGTAATGGTGTAGCAGTGAGTGTATGGTCGTGTAGAAGTGAGTGACTGGTGGTGTAGCGGTGAGTATATGGTGGTGTAGTGGTGTAATGGCGATGGTTAGTGTATGGTGGTGATGAGGAACTTGTGGTGATGATGATTATGTAATGAGACTATGTGGTAGTGAGTGTCTGGAAATAGTGAGCATGTAGGGTGAGTATGTGGTAGATGGAAATATGTGGCGAAGGGGAGTGATTTTATGCGGTGAGGGAGGTATGTGGTGGTGAGGCTGACTATGTGGTGATGCTGACTGTGTGGTGATGCTGACTGTGTGGTGATGCTGACTGTGTGGTGATGCTGACTGTGTGGTGATGCTGACTGTGTGGTGATGCTGACTATGTGGTGATGCTGACTGTGGTGATGCTGACTGTGTGGTGATGCTGACTGTGTGGTGATGCTGACTGTGTGGTGATGGTGACTGTGTGGTGATGCTGACTGTGTGGTGATGCTGACTATGTGGTGATGCTGACTGTGTGGTGATGCTGACTGTGTGGTGATGCTGACTATGTGGTGATGCTGACTATGTGGTGATGCTGACTGTGTGGTGATGGTGACTGTGTGGTGATGCTGACTGTGTGGTGATGCTGACTGTGTGGTGAGGCTGACTGTGTGGTGATGGTGACTATAGATACAAAACATAGTATTGTAGAACTGTAATAATAACAAAAGTAAGAACAACAGTTATAATTATACTAATATTAAATTATTTCTCCTTTCCTTAATAATAATAATAAAAATAATAATAATAATAATAATAATAATAATAATAATAATAATAATAATAATAATAAGTGTCATTTTCTGAATATTTTCCTCAGTCATTATTTACTTTGTCACCTCTTCCCTCACCTCTTATCTTTCACCCTCTCGTGGCTCCAGTTCCTTGCCTCTAATAATAAACAAAGCTAATCAGGTCAAAGCTACCAGGGAGGGGGGGGGGGGGGGAGAGGCAGCGCCCCCGGTGAGTGATGCGGCTAGGGTTAACATTACTCCCAGTGTTGTTGCCATTATTGGTACACGGTGCTAGACTAGTGTTATGGAGACTAGGGGGAGGGTAGAGTCTCTGGGGAAGAGTTACGTGTTATTGGAGTGTCAGGTGAGACGGAGGGACGGAGGGAGGGAGGGAGCAGGTACAGACGGAGGATTAGGAAAGAGGAGGAGAGAGAAAATACGCTTGTTAATTTTGTTAAGGGCGATAAGAGAGTCGACTCCCTGTTGCTGTGTACGGATAGGATGCTGTTTCTGTTGTTTTTATTTACTGCAGTGCCGTTAATAATGTCGTTCTTCCTTATTTATCTACCTATTGCATGTACCTGTGCGTCTACCTAAATAAACCTTACCAATACAGTACAGTATATAGTCTCCTAGAGGCGGGAGTCAGCTGATGATTTATCGAGGCTTCACTGTTTTGCCAGCTATTAGAGTGACACTGCTAAAACGAGGACAGGTAAAGTCTGACAATCCACGAAGAGAAGCCTCGTGGGCCATAAGGACATTCCTCACCACCACCTCTGGCCGCAGTTCCCAAAATGAAACTTGCTCAACACTTCCAGCACCCCACTGGACACTCACCTCCCTGGGGCCTCATTGTGGCTCCTTGGATAATGTATATCAGTGTTACTTCTTTTCCACCCCAGGTGGAAGATTAATATTGACAATATTCTCAGTATGAATAAATAGACTAAATTTGACCCACACTGCTTACATTATTTTTTTCTTTCACTAAACTATTCATTATGTCTACTGTTTAAAGTTCACAATAACACCTGAAGTATTTATAGTAAGTACAAGTAGGTGCAGTACTCTATATTGTTTATACTGTGTGTATACTGAGTCAATGTCTGCTTTCGTCACCCAACCTGATGCAATATTTGTGGGGCGGTTTTTGGAAGATGCCTCGGGACTTCGACAGCACCAAAACCTGCCGATTTTGCGCGAATTCCAAAGCAATGAATATCAAATTAGGGTTCAGTGTACAGTACTAATTAATACACAACACAGCCTTAAACCAGCATTCGTTCCTTCTACCTCGCTCTCATCCTGTCACATAAAAGGTTCAACTACATTTAGTAAAGTTTATCCTCATCAGTGACGGAAATATGAGGAGTGTTGGTCAAGACGTGTTTTTTGTGACACTTGTTGTATGCTGACAAATGTACCCAGGCACCTCATGTGTCCTCTCCATGAGAGTGAGGACGATGTAGGTTACTCCACACGCCAACGTGGAAGCATCATATCAATCAGGTCTATCTACACCTTTAGCCACTGGCATTTTATTTCTCCCCTGAAGCTATAAAAGGGAAAAACCCTTGGTGCTGTCCGTACGACTTTATTGAAGATAAAACTTTCCAACTCACATTGGCAAAGTTCACTCACTGGCGACTAACTTACTCCCAGTGAAAAGTTCATCATGAGAGCGTACACAATTTAAGCAGTAGTTAATCAAACATAATCCTATACCTCAGTCAGAGTGTTTTGATTTTGCAAGAAAAAAATGTGAAGTTTTCATTTCACTATGTGTGAAAGAGAAGCTTAGTGACAGTGAAAGAGAGATTATCGAGTCCTCTCAATGGTCACCCGGACCACATGGTTAGTCGTGCATTAAAGCCAGGCTGCAGCGTACTACAGTATATAATATATTTCGCTGGCAAGCAAAAAGTCAATATTTACATAATGGGCCATGTGGTCCACTTTTAAAGGAGATGCTGTTTAACAAGTCATCCTGGTAATACTTGGGCTTCATCTGCATCTTACTCTCCAATTACGTTTTCCCTCTGCATTTAGGAATCGCAAACGTTGAGCTGGCTGATTGTTAAATGTTTACATCAACACGCCAAGTAACCGCCAACAAAGCCGGGAGAGACTTTGGATGAGAGCCTTGGATTATATTTTCTCTCGTGTACTGTATTATTGTTCATGAACTTCGAGAAAATATACAGTAGTTACTCCTACACATACCTTCTTGGCAATAAGTGAGAGATGACCAAACAGGCAGTGGTGCTGGGGGAACATTATTTTTTTTTCTCCATGTTGTGACTCTCGGGTTTGTTTCCTGAGATAAATTAACACACGTTCTCAAAGGTCAACCATTAACGTAATTTGTTAGGCAATTGTTATAAGTGTTCATTAAACTGGAACTGTCTATTCAACCAGAAAAGCATCACTTACATCACTCTACTTACTGTGATGGTAATATGGATGAAACAATATAATTTGATGTGTGTGTTTAACCTAGATGCATACTTTGCAGATCAAGCCAGCACTAGAGGGCGTAGAACGGCAGTATCTGACGGAGGACTGCCTCAGTCTCGTCTGGACCCCAGAATTGTATTATGCCAAGCACAAAGAGGCTTCAGAGTCCATCTTGGTACTGGCGGACATGTGTCAGCGAGGTTACAAGATGCAAGACCTCACGGAGGGGCTGACGCTGTCGCAGGTTCAGTCGGCACTCACCACTGTGGCCAACGTTCACGCTGCTGCTCTCGCACTGCAGATGAAGGAGAAAAAACCCCTGCAGGAGCGATATCCCTACTTGTTGTCGATGGAACAAGCTGTGGAGTCCTTCAACTGCCTGGTCGAGCGAGGCCTTCCACTACTGCTCAAGTTCCTGGCATCTCGTAAGGATCGTGCTGCTGTCCGAGAGGGCTTACAGAGGTATTCTGGGCAGCGCACTGTGGAAGTCCTGCGAGGTATCCTGGCTCCTTCAGACAAACTCAACACACTAGTGCACTGTGATTTCTGGTGCAATAATCTTCTCTTTAAGAAAGAGGGAGATACCACACGCTGTTGTGTTATTGACTGGCAGACGGTTATGTATGGACGACCCGCCATAGATGTGGCCATGTTGCTCTGTACATCATTAGAAGTCTCGCAGCGACGCAAACATCAAACAGAGCTTCTCTCACACTATTGGGATGCATTTACTTCAAGACTCACCAAGTTTGGCATCGAAAAAGCGGCTGTCAAATATACCGAAGATGATTTAAAGGGAGATTTCAAAGCAGCACAAGCAATGGCAGCGCTGGTGGTGGTCGGGAGTGTGGACATCGCCCTAGGTAACGCAGCCAGAGAAGAGAGAGTCCTGGAACTTCTCACAGATCTTCTGAACGTAGGCGTACTATGAGGCGGAAGGGACCAGAAACCAGTTTAGAATTAGAGCTCACTATGTACATAACAACTTTACTCAATGTTGATACATTTAAGACCCAAATATACTGTAGCTTCAGGCAGCAGAACGAGCTTAACATAAGGTGGAGCTGAAGCACAGCATTGGCTTTTTAAACGAACGTTTTTTTCAGATTTATGAAAAGTATTTTGTAAAGCTAACTGTTTTTTAGCGTTATTATTAGTTAGTAATTTTTGTTCCAGTTTTGTGAAAATGTAGTGGCTATTCATATGAGTCAGTTCTTACAAGACTCTTAAAACTCACGACAAAGATAACTATATTTGTAAGAATTGACAACACGTGAAATCTTATAGAGATACGATGGTCACTACTAGCATTATGCATAGAGCCACAAGTCCAGCTCAAAGTTCACAGTTGTCTTACAAAATGTCCACATGGTTGGGAAGGTTGGAGAGGCTTACTTTACAGCCGAGTATTTGCTTATTTTACTACCTGCTAGATCCCAGTCTTCTGGCGTTGGTCTAATTATCTGTATGTTTGGATTGTGTCAATAACAAATGAAACTCTGTCACTTAAGGCTTCTTTGAGGTCTGTCTGTAGCTTCCCACAGTCTATGTCATAGGTACAGTATATATTGTGCAGTTTGTAGAACCCTGAAAACTCCATTGGAAGCTTTGTAGGAACCAGTATGCAGCTTATTTTAACTTAATGATTCATTGAATGAATTTTTCTAGCTTAATACAATTAACCTGCAATGTCCAGAGGCCCCTTATCTACCATCCAGGAATCAGCTTGTCCATTTCCAAGTCGACACGTGCAAAAGCCAGTGATTTTCAGAAAATTTATCCCTTAATATTTGGCTTATCTACAACAGGAGCCGCAGTTCACTCGATACTGTAGTTTATCCTGACCGAGGCTGAAACGTTCACAAAATTGTATATTGTTAGGAAGCATTGTATCATAGGAAAATAATGGCCAGGGTATACTGTACATCTCCAGTGTAAGAGATACTAAGTAGGCTTTCCTTATGTACTGTATACGAGCATATAAGAAATATCTGTTGGTATTGAATAAGAGTTAAATTCTATTTATATCTTTTTATAACAAAAATGAAATTGATATTTAATGGACGTTTGCTATTTTTTGAATGTATTTCCCTAAAGCAATTCCTGGAAGGGGATTGGCTGGCAACGATTTCCTCCTCCCGCCATTAAGTGTTGGTGTTTACAGTGGAAACGAGATGTGAATATGGTTACAGTCTTCAGTTATAAACAAGTTTGGAGACATCATCATCCTGTAACAACACTAAAAATAATCCCAGGATGTAGAAGTGGAGTTTAGAGCGTGAGTCAATAGAGATATAGTGTGGGTGACAGACGTAATGTGATACTAGGCTGAATGTATGTTTTTTTTTCTTTTTTCTTTTGTGTGTGTATGTGTGTGTGTGACATGAGGTACAGTATGTGGTGATGAGACTGATGTTGCATACTAGACTGGTAATGATCGTAAAAGATGTTCGTTGAGGTATAAGCTGAAGAGACATGAACGATTGAGTACTCATATTTTCTATGTAGTTGATGAAGGACCAACTTTGAGATAAGTCTACTACACTTTGTCTCATGTTCACAATACAATGCTGTTATAATTCTCTTCGTTTTATTGACATCATATTTTGCAAGCAGTGTGTTTAATTATGTTAGTGGTGAAGCAGCAGCAGGCAAGATGTTGAATTGAATTGAATTGAAACAGTTTATTTAGCCAGAAAAATACAGATACAGAGTGGATAATAATAACAATATTAACATGGCTGAGCCAGTTGAAAACCTGAGCTCTCTTTGAGGCACCTGATGTATTCTATACATTTATCTCAAGGAAGTATTATGTAAACATTTAGTATCATCCGGAATAGTACAATAGCATGGTGGTAATAAGAACATCTCATAAAATTACCACGGTTATCACTTGTTGTGTGGCCATTGAAGAAATAAAGAGTTAATTAAACACAAAATATTATGAGCTGTTGTTAAAACCAACAATTATATATAATTTCCCTTTTACAGCCCTGGTAATAGCCAATTGGTCCATGTTATTTAGAAGAAATGTGAGGCCTTTTATCCCCTTAACGACAGATGATTTATAATACAGTAACAGATATGGACATACACAAAGGCTGGTGTCTTGCTACACTACAATACTGTAGGGATCCGTGGTATAATGTTGTCTAGCACTCAGGATGGATGGAAACTCTAAGGTGGTTTTCTTGTATAATATAAGTTATATGATTTACAGTCTGGTGCTGGAGGTGCCGTGTGGTGAGGAGCTGCTCAGTAGAGACGTTCGGTGAGTAGCGTGTTGAAGGAGGTAGATGTGCAGGAGCTTCGTTAGAGAAGATGTTGCCTGTTGCTGGCCTCCTGGTTGAATGAATGCTGACAGCGTGGAGCTTGCTGGAGGAGGTGTTGCTTGTTCAAGAAGAGAGACCAGAATGAGAGAGCTGGTTGGTGAAGAAGCTCAGAGAAGGACAGCTGGTGGGTCGCCATGCTCGCTGGCGGGAGCGAGGACCGCCAGGCAGGCGAGGAGAAGCGAGGGCCGCCAGGCAGTGGCGGAGGAGGAGGTGTTGCTTGTTCAAGAAGAGTGGCTAGAATGAATCTCAATGGAGAGACAGAGCTTATATACCCAGCAGCCGTGAGTCCTCTATGAGTCATGTTGGGAAAACCCGAGAAAGTTGCCGGTCTCTAGTTCTGTTGCTAGGTTACCGTAACATCTGGTGTCAATGCTGATACGCAGTTGTAGGGGAGAAGTCCACTACAATACTCTTACTTGCGTCATGACTCCTGTATCGATAGAGACACCATGATGATGTTACAACAAACTGTGACATTGTCACTTTTAAGTTTTACAACAACCTGTAACAATCACAACATAAACACTAAAGACCCATTTGATTTCTTTAAGTTCAAGTTTGAGTGTCACAGCTCAATGCGTAAACACAGGAAAACTTCACAACATCAATGTCAAAGCCCAGACTAACTGGGTGACTGTTGTGGTGTTTTCATTTCCAACAAACTTTACTTGGTGTCACACTGCTGCAGTCTACAGTGATGGATGAGGTTATCATGTATTATTGTTATTTACGGTCGCCGGAACTAATATGGCAGTCGTACAAGAGCGCTGACACGAAAGGGATTACCACTGATGCTTTTCTCAGAAATTTGGCGAATTTCATGTCATTGGGGAGACCCAACAGTGGTCATGGTACTTTTGATCACGTCGGCGTCTACAGCTTATTGAGAGGTGAATCCGACCAAGTCTGGTCTGGGATGAATAATTTATACATATGGTTTAACTTCTTAATATTATCTGTTATTGTTACACTCAGTTGTCCTGCCGAGAATATCACTGTCCTCTTATTGGTTTGGTTGGTTGGTTAGTTATATATTTTTTTTTTAATGCGAATACAAGGTAAATATGTAGTGGAGTTCAAAATACACCAGTCCAAATTATTTTGTCACATCATAACATTGTGACAATTTGAAAACTTAACTGTAAATGCCTAATTCAGATATACGGAATATTTTCATTTAGGCGTTCATTAATGCTGGAAAAAGTCGACATGTGATACCTATCACGGCAGTGTACAGAGAGGCTGGTGTGCGCCTCCACCTTCCTGTCTCTCTACTCCGAGGTTGTGAGTCTCAATAGTGAACGACTCGTGTGAATAAACTTCTTAGGTATACCTCATGTACTGTCATAAAGTTGTAAATTGATTAATTTATTACACAAAAAACTAAATATTAATAAACAAATCACTAAATGAATTAAACCTGCATTATGTTCTTCCTCTATCGAGTACCAGTTTGAAGCTTACTTAAAATATACCTGGGAAATGTTTGCCGCGCGCGCCCAGTACTGCCAGGTGAAGCTAATCCTCCCCCTCGTCGGCTATCTTTGTGAAGGCTGGTCGCGCGCCAGGAGGTTAGTGACCCTAATTGACACTGGTTTGCACTGTTTACACTCATCCATACCATCCCTGTGTGATTAAGTGAAACTATTATTTTATTTTCAACCATTTATTATATACTATAGTACAATAAAACTAAATTTCAATGAACAACAATAATCATTAGCATCAATTACCCTTATCATGGCACGAACCTGGTACCCTGAGCACAGGGGGATTTCTGTGCATTATTACCTTGCAGACTGATCATTAGATTCCACTGAACAACATTAACTTATTCATGCTAGTTTTCCTTTTGACTGCTTTGAGAGATACGTATCGTGCTGTGAACTGTTTGCCTGCATATGTGTAGCTCACCTGTACAGTAGATAGGTCTCAACTACTGCTTTGATTACCAATACAAGATGATTATTGAGAGGATCTCTTTCTGACATGTGTATTGCCAAGCCTTGGAATAAAGTTTTGTTCAGGAACTCTAGCAATACATAAAGGCTTGTGTGACACTACCATAAAAGTGAAAGCTTCTTTAGCTACAGGCAAGCAATCATCATCTAGTTCAGCTCCCAAGTCGATAAACCCCTGATATTTTTTGCCATCCTATTTAACATGTTGACGAATAGCTATTTCATCCATCACCAAAGAAAGAATATTTACCAGAAGTTTCGTCTGTGGATTTCTTGACCTTCTGTTTGAGTGCACTGAATGATGCCTCGGTAAATCCTGATTTCACTTCTACTGTATTGTACCATTTTTCCAGTGTTCATGGATGCAACAGACAAGTATCAAAAGTTTTCTTATGAACGTATATGCTTGTGGAGAGTAAAAGTTCAAAGTGAGAGCAAAACTTCTCAAAGCCAGGGGCATATTGAGCATGTACTGGCTTACCGCTATTGCTAGCAATCTGTCTTTTCACAAGGTCAGTCACACCACCAGCACAGGATTCTAAAATAGTCAGACTGTCTTCACGACGTTTTTTCTTTTAATACACTAATCACAGAACACAAGTCGGCATTTTTCTTTCTCAGTCGTGTTTTCTGTTGCAATAGTTATATTTTTTTCCCTAGACTTCACCAGTTTTTCCTCTAATTTCTTCTTCATCACTTTCGATGGAGAATTTGTTAAATTAGCTTCTAGGTGATTTTCTGCTACAGAAAGAGTGGAAGCTGCAGCTTCAGATGGAGAAGGCTCACAAACAGTCCGAGTTTTGGGGGGCTTCCTATTATAATTTGTCTTTTTCTGTAGGTGAGCAGGGAAAGTCTCAAATATACTAGGAGCAGCATTTTCTCATAATCTGACACAAGACAAAGAAGTCCTGTCAAAATCTTCAGGGGGCAAAATGCTTAGAGCAGAGGCGTGCTTGTTTGCCTGGTGTGAAGTTGTCTATTCATAGAACCAAAACTCATTTTTACCTTCTGCACGGGTCCTTCGGCAGCCTGTGAAAAGATTAATATCGAGATGTAATATTAATCATCTTTCATCCCATGTGTGTGTATATAAGAAAGTCCTTCCTGTTTACAATCAAACACATTCGTTCTGGGAAGCTAACTAAAAACAAAATTAAAATTTAACTTACTGGGGTGAAATGTAATAGACGGATCAGACTTCTTCTTAGCCCTTTCATTGCACCCAAATGTAATACAACTGGTAGGCATTGCAGAATACCCGATCACTGCTGGGTAGATATCGCAGTCACAACATCTAACACTCACTGCTGAGTTAGTACTGCGCAGGGTAGGCGAAAACAAACCCCAAAGTATTCTACCAAATGTATCAAACTAAAACACGAGATAAGATTGGACCAATACGTTCAGATACCGGCGAGCTAACTGGTAACGACGGAGAAATGAGCAATAATCTGAATAAATATTTTTCAACAGTTTTCACCAAGGAAAATTTAAACATGATACCCGAGGCACCGACTCTATTCAGAGATAGTGAAGAAAACAAATTAAGCGAGATAGTAGTGACTAGTAACGATGTTAATAAGCAAATAGACAAACTGAAGCCTAATAAGTCACCTGGTCCCGATGAGATATTTGCCAGAGTATTAAAGGAATGTAAGGAAAACATTAGTATGCCCTTAGCAAAGTTGTTTAACATGTCATTAAAAACAGGTGTAGTACCAGAATCCTGGAGGATAGCGAATGTAATACCGATTTTCAAGAAGGGGGATAGATCACTATCCTCTAACTGCTGCCCAATCAGTCTAACATCAATAGTAGGTAAATTACTTGAATCAATTATTTCAAACTCTATGCGAAACCACCTGGAGAAGCACAAGTTGATCAATGATTCCCAACATGGCTTCACAAGCGGGCGTTCATGTCTAACTAATCTATTAACATTCTTTTCATCAGTTTTCGAATCTGTGGACGAGGGGCACAATTATGATGTGGTATATCTCGACTTTAGCAAAGCCTTCGACAGAGTCCCCCACGAAAGACTAATTAGAAAGGTTGAAGCACATGGCATCAAAGGTAATATCCTTAAATGGATTAGGATGTGGTTACGGGACAGGAAACAGCGAGTGAGCATAAACGGCACTAAATCTCATTGGAGCAACGTCACTAGTGGAGTTACCCAAGGCTCAGTACCTGGACGATTACTATTTATTAAATACATAAACGACATAGACAGCAACATAAGTAAATTTGCTGATGACACTAAAATAGGACGTGTAATTAAATC